GCATATCGCACCACCAAAAGACGAACAACTGGTGAGACTCATTTCTCTTTAGCATTTGGTTCAGAAGCAATCATTCCTCCCGATGTCATCGTGCCAAGTATTAGCACTCTACTACCAAGCATTGAGCAGAACAGTAAGGAGATGGCCACAAGCATAGATCTGGCAGAGGAGAAGTGCGAACAAACCATCACTTGTATCGCAGCCTACTAGCAGCAGCTTATCTCTAACTGCAATAAAAAGGGCAATATCCAGCAATTCCAGCCCAGAGATCTAGTCCTAAGAAAAGCTTTTATCATTGCCCACAAAGAAGGCTCCAAAAAGATGGATCATATCTGGGAAGGTTCGTACAAGATCAACAGGGTAGACGGTAAGGGTATTTACACCCTCGCTACCATGAATGACAAAGAGATCAAAAAAGCAGTGGAACGCCTATAATATAAGGATGTACCATGTAACCTCCCGCTACATCAAAGCCCGAAGACTCAGGTAGCTCGACGGGCACCACCTCACAAACAGAAAACTATTCAGTTGTTATGTAGTTCCTACCTTACAGCTAAGTTCTCGTTCATTTCACTCATTTTTCAACGAGGAATTCAGAAGTAATCTACAACTTGGCTCGGCTGCATGCTTACAACAACTAAGTCTCTTCTTAAGGACTCATCGCAGGAATTGCGCCCCCCGAGGGACCAACCATGCTCTCCAGTGCGAGAAGGTAAACTCATTGCTCTCAAGTGTGATAAGGTAAACCAATTTCCCAACACCCACATGGGTCTGCTCTCCAAGGCGGAAGGATAAACTTACACTCCGAATATCCAGACGTGAATGAACCAGGCTACCATGGTATAACTAGATGCACGATGGCTTGCGCTGGCATTCAAGGCTTAGCTAATTGAAGGATTTTGGGTCTCTTGGCTTAATCCGTGGGGAACCCGGCCTCAGAGACGGATAAGGCACATTACGGAGTACGCCTTATGAACGGCTACCTTGGAACCTTAAAGCTGCTACCGAGTGCACTAAGGTAGCCTATGATTTTTGGAAAACTGCCTACAGCTTGCCCTTTGAGCAGTAAAGTCATGCTAGATTTATACAACCACACATTCTTATGAAAGGTTAAACAAGCTAGCGTGCATATACAAAGCTTTATCCACTGCCGACATGCTACGTAGTCGATAAGCTTCATCTCTGCCAAGCGCAGAACGACCAACACTAAGTCCTAAAGTGTTATGTAATTGCTACGCAACCTACAGAATTGGAGAAAGCCAAGGTTAACAACCTAGTGGTCACGCGAACTTGTCTATTTCTGTAAGTAAAACATCCGGCTACCGACCCTATGGCTAACAACTTTGCAAATTTCTACACCAACACCTATGGCTGCATAGGCTACACGGCTTATCTGTTTATAGAAAAGTAGCATGTCCACCACTGGTCTATAAAGTCTACGGTTAAGGCATAAACTAAAGAAATGAAGATGGAGAAAAGCGAAGGAAACAAGTTTATTAAATTTTCTAGCAAAATTGATAAACAACTAGCGAAGAACATTTTCCATCGAAATTGATAAACGACTAGCAAAGGCCAAATGAGTTCAAGCAAAACAAGAGCAATAAGGAAAACAAAGAAAATCCTAAAGGCTACCTAGAAGACTACCCTTCAGCAGCTTGGACATCCCACGATTACTCGGCCGCCACACCTTTAATAGCCGCAATGCTCCCAATAGCGGCATCATTCGGCACTTTACCCCCGGTTACTCCAGCTTGGGCATCAACCTCTCTGACTACTTCATCGATGGAGATCTCTAAAATAAAGGCAAGCAAGCCTTTCGGAGAAATAGAGAAAGGTTTGAAGTCTTCCAAGCAAACGCGAAGTCGAACGGTCTACCAAAGAGATGATCTACATAACCCATCTTTTAGAAATCGGCCTGACTCTGAACAAGCGAAGCCTCAAGCCCAGCCTTCTCACCTTTCAGCTGCTCGTTTTCCTCGAGCAGACCAACACAAACGCGTGGCAGCTCATCCACTTATTTCTTTAAACTTTTGTTGGTCTTCAGCGCACCTTAGAGTTCTAACACTTAGGGTTCAAGCCTATCACCTTCTTGAAGTGGATCACTTGGTTACAAGCAGCAATCAACTTTCCATCTTTTGCATAAGCAGTGGAATGAAGCTTAGAAACGGCACATTAAAGATCTTAAATCTAAGGTATGTAACATCTGATCTCCTTCTCTGCACTTTCATATTTAACTTAGATCACATCAAGCCTAGTCTTCAAGTCAACGATCTATTGGCAAGCTGTCTCAAGCTGTACAAAAGTGTGGGCAGAGATGTTAGACCCCTTTAAAGCAATGAGCTCAGATTCCAACCTCTTGATCTTTTCAGCGGAAGAATGAGCTCCGGCTTCCACAACCTTTATTACCTCATTGGCAACCTTGGTATTCTTTTGTTCAAGAAGCATAGACTCGGCTGCCAGAATAGCTGTCTTCTGTATCATGGCAAGTAGTCTTCTAATGCTATCGACAAACTTAGCACAAGCGTCCATGTCTTCAAGCAGATCTAATTTCAAAATTGCACAGATCTCAATAGCCTCCCCAGAAGCAAGTTTAATGGATTTCTCACAGCTGCCCACGCGAGCAGTCTCCTCCTACCCAGCAGGCGAATTAGTCTCAACAGCAGGGGGAATGGGCCTTAGCGCCACTTTAGTAGCAGAGTCCACCTTATTACTCTTCATAATAGTAAGCCTTTCTAAAGGTGAACCGAACTTAGCTCCTAACGGACTTCTTGGTACAGACTTCAGCACTGGGGGCATGACAGGACCTCTACGCTGACCAATCCTATCAGCAATCGTACTTGCCATTCTCGACAAGGCATACACCACAGACTCAGATCTAGCAGCCTCATATTTCTTCCCATTGGAAGAAGTCATGTCAATCACAAACCTCTTGATAGTAAGCGGACCCTCACAAGTAGCGAAGGAAGTCTTCAGTTTTTTCTCAACCAGCATCTCTTAAGCAGGCAGGAAAGATCTCTTCTTTCCACTTTCATTCATAGTAGGTTCCACGATTGCTATCAGACGAGACAATGTATCCGCCTTGATCCTTTTTACCTTCTCTCTCGAAAGCAGCCCACCTTTCTCCCAGGGAAGAGGACTAAGCAGCCATCGTCATTCATGATACTCAGCATGGAAGCTTAATCCATACTGGCTTTTCCCTTATTTTTTTTCTTCTCTCGGACCAGCAGGTATGAGGCATGCATGCCTAGTATTCCAGCAGCCCCATGAGGCCCGCGACCTCCTTATTTCTCTTAATCGTCGGCCCAGCCTGCGTTAGGTCCAAGAGCCCAAAAGACATGAGCCATGCAGCTCGCCTAGCACTGCGTCCCAATGCATCAATCTGCGGCCCCAACCGCACAAGCTGTCCTTGACTCTAGCCAAGTCGAGCAGCCCAAGCGATGGTCCCTACCACAACATTTCCTCGGCCCATGCCGAGCCAACTTTTGGCCCCTGCAAACCGACATACCGCACCACCCCGACGGCTGCCCCGCGACAGCACTATCCAAGAAGAAGACAAGGAAAATTAATTTTTTCTTACCTTGGAACGGCATGGAGAAGACGAAGAAAATAACGAAAGACGACCCTTTGCACGGGCAAGATGTAGAAGATTGCTAGAGGAGAGGGAACAAATATCCTCTAAGCTTTCTCTCTCTTGTAGGGTAGAATAAATTGCTCTCCAAAGTTGATTTAATAATCCACTTAAAGTGAACTTAAATAGGCTTTGAGAGAAATTTATTTCCCTTTCCTAAAATGATCTAATTTTCTATTAAAGAGGGACTACATCAAAATAGGAAATAATCCTATGTTTCCTAAAGCAAGAAGATCTCTACACCTGCTGCCCTTTCCTGCGAGCAGCCAACAAGTGTAGGGGCATTTGTGGAGCCAAAAATAATCAAGAAGAATATGGAGGCAACACGTGGATTTTTGGGTTAAAAAGACAAGATTACCCTCGAGGCACACCGAGATTTGTACGCACAAGCGGTGGACAATCATCCCTCAATCAAGTCAAAAATGTCCAAAATAGGTATTTATTCAAAACCTATTTCATCCATCCTCATCAAATATTCTCCACAAGATAACCTCCAAATTATTCATTTCTAATTATATTAATTAGCAAACAAATCATGAATCTCTCTCAAAAAAACCATCCAAGTGGCCGGTCCCCATCCTCCCAAAGGGGCCGGCCACACCCCTATAAATACCATCTCATTTTCTTCAAAACTCAATTCAAATTCTCTTGCTAAATTCTCCAAACACTTTTCCCTCAAAATTCTAACTTTGGCATCAGAACCCTCCCCCCCAAAAAAAAAAAAAAATCATTGTGGGCGCGTGAAGCTCTTGACCTTGACCTAAAGTGTTATTTGTTTTGTAGGTGCAATTTTGTTCAAGAGTAAGGAGGAAGAAATTTACATCTACATCAACTATACGATCTCAGAAAGCTAACAATATACCCTCAAATTCAATGAAAGAACAGAATCACCTCGTAGGAAGGTTCTTTAATGGAAAGACAAGATACATGGCCATGGTTTTCTTATGAACCTACATCAAAGATTTGTTCCCAGAAATTGCGTGTCCCCCACAATATATTCAACCATACAAAGCATGCGTAAGCATGACCCAGGGATCCCATAAGCCATTAGTCTTTTCTTTCTTTTTCCCTCAAAACCTAAAATAGTGGCATTGACATTTGACCATATGATGAGGTGTGGCGCTCATGTAAAACAGCTAAGGTTCCCCAAACCTCAATCCTTAGCTCCCCAACATCACTACAACGTCATACTGAGGTCATACATATTATAGAGGTGTATCATAAAGTCCCTGGAGCTCAAGCAAACTTGTGCCATGTTGGTCTTATTGGCCGCCAATAACAATTCACTTTGACCTTCCAAAAATACACCTCTCTCTCTCTCTCTCTCTCTCTCTCTCTCTCTCTCTCTCTCTCTCATTACTACTATATATAGAGCTGCAAATATCTTTCATTTGTCCTCACATTATTTTGCAGCAGTTTTCAAATTTCAAGCCAAAGTTTTAGAGACTGATAAAATATGCCTGAGAAGGAAGTTTCAAGTGTCCTGAAAAAACCTCGTGTTGTGGTGAGGAAGTTCTTGGCGAGGCCTCAGCTTGAAGGAGTTGGAGCCATTGTTAGAAGGAGCATAGGGAGGTAAGTGATCACTGAGTTCTAAAGCCAGATTGTAGAGTTTCTGCCTGTTTTTCATAGATTATTAAATGAAAGATCTATTGAAGGATTTGAGATGTCTGAATTAATGGGGTGTTGTGTTCTTTGCAGGTTTGAGCTGAAATACTTTGATCCTTTTCTTGTTTTGGATGAGTTCTCAGGTGGGTATCTCTGTTAATCTTTCCATGTTTCTTTATTGAATGTAGATCTATAAATCTCAACTTGTAAGTCAGATATCTTATGTTCGATTTTTCATAAAAAAAAATTCTCATCCCCAATATCATTCCGTAAAAGAAAACTGTTAATTTTTGTTTCCATATGTAGTTAATTATTTTCTAATATTGCTCTTGCAATTGCAGTTACTGCTCCTGCTGGTTTCCCGGATCATCCACACAGAGGTTTTGAGACAGTGACCTACATGTTGCAGGTATAGAAACCATTATTTATATTCATTTTCTGTGCTGGAAAGGTGTATCATTTACATTTCCAGCTAACCCATTTCTTATTTATTCCAAAACCTTGTCTTTTTTTTTTTTTTTTTTTTTTTCGCGATTAGCATCTGAATTACCTTAATCAGTGAAATAGCCACCTGTTATTTTGACTAATGGGATTCATGAGTACTGAACTTAATTAATTACCTTAGTTGAACGCAATTGCTGTTTTTGGGGTGATTAGGGAGCTGTGACGCATGAAGATTTTGAAGGGCACAAAGGGACAATAGGAGCCGGTGACCTACAGTGGATGACCGCCGGAAGAGGCATCCTTCACTCGGAAATGCCCGCCGCCCAGGGAACCCAAAAGGGTTTACAGTTGTGGATAAACCTCTCCTCCAAGCATAAAATGTATGTATACATTACCCATACCTACCTTAATTATTAATTCATTTGGACACATCGACCATGTGCTAACAAACTAGTATGGTTTGGCTGCATGACATATGCTTGATGTCATCTGGGCATCATACATTATAAGCCTCATAATCATTATATGTTTGACCCTTTTTATTTCCAGATACTCTTAACAGTATAATGACGATTGTGTAACAATTGAATCTATAAATACCTTCTAAGTTAGTTTGTGTAAAATGGAAGAGGATCCTCTCTTGAGCTCAAGATGAGGATCCTCTTAATCACGAAATTCAGACCGTTCAATTTTAATCCAACGGCTTTAAACAGGGGGTTCCTTAAAAAGTTATAATAATTACAACCGTTGGATTAAAATTGAACGGCCCAGATTTTGTGGTCAGAAGAATCCCCATCCTATGCTCAGGAGAAGATCCTCTTCCGTGTAAAATAAGATTAGTTACAATTGACAACATAAATATTATTTGATTATCTAAGTCTCGTTAAAGAACATTATGTACTTATATAGATAGGATTGATAGTGACAAGGTTCCAACTATTTAAATAAGTGAGAGATATTTTATTATGCCCAGAACATGGACAGATAAGACATATGTCGTTGTATAAGTGGAGTGGCACTTGAAAAAAAAAAAATTATTTCACTTGTATAATAATCTAAAAATAATGCTAAAGACATCAAATTTCTAAAACCAAATAATGTTGATGTTAATGATTGAATTATTGCTTAAGTATTAATTAACGTTTTTATTTCGTATTAATGACGTATCATTTGGTTTGCAAGTTTGATTTCCCTAATATTATCCATAAATTAATAACATATAGTAAAATTTCGTGTTCTAAATACATTGGAATTTTTTTCTACATAAGCATGTGCAATCATCATATGTTGGTCATCATAGGATATTATCCTTTTCTAAAAGTGCTTTTGATTGCTGCGCACATTTTGTGTATTTTTGTGCATACCAACCTAAAATATCTTAGATGCTGTGAAACCATGGGCCTTTTTACTCATATTCCATGGTACTTTGGGAAATTTGGATAAGATTCGACACACAGAGTCAAGACTTTTATAGTGGTTGGCTAGCTTTTTTGTCCCCGGAATTTTTAGTTTTTACTCAAACCAAACGTGGCAGAAAGTCCCTTTCAAATTACAATCAATTAGCATATATCCTTTGCAATTAGTTAGCTTTAAGGGTGTTGCTACTTGCATTCTATTTTTATTGATTACATTGAGTTAATCGGTAAATGAAGTCCAAATAACATTATCATTGTTTGATCGTGACGTAATTTGTGCAAATTAACACAGGATTGATCCAAAGTATCAAGAACTATTGAGCAAGGACGTTGCAGAGGCTTCAAAAGATGGGATCAAAGTTAGAGTGATAGCAGGAGAAGCCTTGGGAACAAAGTCACCAATTTACACAAGGACCCCAACCATGTACTTAGACTTCACACTGAAACCAGGAGCTCACTTGGAACAACCAATACCAACATCATGGAATGCATTTGTCTATGTGTTGGAGGGGGAGGGGATTTTTGGCAGTTCAAAATCTTTGCCTGTGACTGCCCACCACCTTCTTCTTCTTGGAATATCTGGGGATGGCTTGGAGACATGGAACAAGTCTTCGAAAACCCTAAGATTTATCTTGGTTGGAGGTGAGCCTTTGGGGGAGCCTATAACGCAATTTGGCCCCTTTGTGATGAACAGTCAGGAAGAGATTGACCAGACCATTGATGATTTTGACAATTGTGTCAATGGATTTGAGAAGGCTAGACATTGGAGATCTGGACATTTGCTTGATTAGCCTTGATTTTTAGTTACTGTATTATTTGAGAATTTATTTGTTGTTGGGTTTTTCCTTTAAATGGAAATAAAAGTAGTTGATTAATTAGATCAAATTCTGGGCCACAAAGGACTTCCAAGACACAGGAGATATGAACTTAAGCCCTCTTGGTCAAATTTTAAAATTGGTCAACAATACAATTTAGCCCCCTTGGTCAAATTATAAGCATCTAAAAGTCCATGAAAAATCCATTAGAAAGGGTGCGATCGAAGTAACCAAGCGAGTACTTCTGTTCACAAGAGATGATATTAACATTGGTCAACAATACAATTAAGCCCTCTTGGTCCAATTTTTTACCAACCCTCTTAGAGTTTCTTCACAAAATTTTAAAAGGAAAACTAGTGAATATAACTTCAAATCTTTACATTTTAATAAATAAAATAAAAAACCATTCACTAACTTTATTTAATGATGAGGACAACAGAATTTTTATTTTTTATTTTTTTTAAACCCTAAAAATTTAAGGGTTTTTCATTAATATTTAATTTTGTTTTCATTAAATAAAGTTATAACATGATTTTTTTATTAAAATAAACTTAACTCAAGTCCTTTTCATGAAAGTTTCCAATTTTAAATTCAAGTTTTCTAGGCAACTAAGAAAGAATATTATGCATTAAAGTACACAAAAAGCAAAGCGACATAGATCGTGGTTTCCCAATCTTGTCTTCATGTTGTTTCCAAGAAATATCCATGGCATATTGTGGAGCTAGGAATTTAAGACAATGAGATCAAAAAATAGATTTCAAACATCGATCATACTTTTTATTTATAATTGTCCACACGTGTTCTCATATTTTGGAAACGTCATGTTACAACATCATTATCAATAGAATCAAATATCTCTGTCTCAATGTACATAACCAAACTATCATTCAACCATTGATCACCCATCCTATTACGATGTGGATCCTTCACAATTTTCATCACTGAAAAAACTCTTTCAACTGAAGCAGTCGCAATAGGTAAAATCAATGCTAATTTCACTAGCAAGTACACCAAGGGATACTGTCTATCATTCGTCTCCACCAACTTTTGTGCAAGGCTACTAATTCCTTTCAACGCAAAAAATTCAGTATGCAAACACATATCAAAAATATAATTCTTCAGTTCATCTTCAAGAAGTGTGAGCTCCATATCAAAAAAATCTTTTGGATAAAATTGAGCAAGACGAACTAACTTTTCAATGTTAAAAGTTGAGAATGAGTCATCTGGGCTTTCAAGAATATCCGTTGTAGAGGGTAAGAGGTTATCTTCGGCTGGTTTTCTCTTAAAATACCTCTCTATAACTGTTTTAAATAGTACCAAAAAGAATCAACAACATAATATAAATTTGATCAAATTAACAATAATTGACTCAATCAAACTATAAGCAATAAAACACACTATTAGGCAATTTTTGTCTTCAAGGCTTGGCTAATGGAAAATTAGGGATTATATAATTAATAAAATTTGGAATAAACAAATCATGAGCATATTTGCATATGCACTAAAAGAATATATAATTTGGCTAAATTATACTACATTCAAGAACTTTTTTCATGCCCGATGTTATAAATGGATACGAGGATGACACTTTGCCCTTCTCAGACCTAATTCTAAACTAGAATTGAATGAAAAACTGGAATTACTCTCAAACCTAATCCTTATTTTATTCATAACTGAAATGGAATGAAACCCTAAAAACCACAATAAATCTAAGATAACAAAATTGTCAATGATTGGAAACTTGGAGTGGAGGTACCTGATTAAACTTGATGAACAGAGAAACTTGAAATTTGAATGGATACAGCGCTAGTGCTATGGTGGAGTCGCTCGCTCATAGAGAAAACCTCAAATGTGTGGTGGTGGAGCAGCTGTTCAATGTTAAAATAGAAAAATTATTAATTAAAAATTATTTTTTATTTTCTTATATTTTGTTGCTGCTTGGCCGAAGAGGTTACATGTGGGCTCACTAGTTCCATGTTGGGTGACCCAACTTGGGTCAATATTTGTTGGCCATTGTGGGCCACACAACCATTGCTAGTGTTGTTGCAGTGCTGTTAAAAGGGTCAAAATTTTTTTAAAGGGATAAGTTACAAAGCTATTGGGGTCAAGGGAGCCCAATGTCCCCACATTGGCTCTGCTAGTGGGCATATTGTACAAGACAAATATAGGTACGAAAGGCAAGTAATTCACAACTTTTCTTCGCAATTACAAAGTTATAGGTGTCTTGATGGTCGTCCGGTTGGGATTTTCGCCTCCACAAATCCAAAGGTTCTAGGTGATAACTCTAAAAGGTGATCAAACTATTTGAGAAAGTAACTTGGAGGGGGCAGAGGGTGGGAGGTGCTGAAGCACTTTGTTTCTCCATGTAAGGATGATATTTTTGGCTTTGAGGTGGCCTCTCCCTCTTCTCTCCCTTGTCATTACAATCAGTGTACGAGGTGTGATATCCACGCACTCTTTTTTACTTCTCACACATCCTTCTAATTTTCAACTGTCGGATTGGATAAGTTGAAGAAGATCAAAGGATAGAAATTAACAAGGGGTGTGTGGATAGTTGGAGTTGCTCTTATATACTGGTTAGATTAAGGTTCGAAGGGAGGTAGCCACTTAGCACTACAATTTAGTGATAGGCTTATTTTTAGCTACACCTCTTGGAACTTCATTTTGATTTCACTTTGCCCATTGGAACTCAAAAGTCACTACTTTACTCCCTGAAACTCAAAATTTGTTCCATTTGACTTGTAGACTCTCTCCTCCCTGAGACTATATCACATTTGCAATAAATTTGATTATAAATCCCCATTATGCATTAACATCCAACAATAAGAGAATATTAAGCTTAAAAGAAATTGAAGAGATGAAAAAAATAAGAAAGAAATTGATTAGCCTGGCGCATCCAAATCAAATCTACATAAGAAATTAATAGATCTAAGACAATGTGGAGCAAATTTTGAGTTTTATAGAGACGACTTTTAAGTTTTAGAGGGCAAAATGGGATCAAAATCGAGGTTCAATGGGCAAAGTGGAGCGAACTTTGAGTTTCGAGTAGTAAAGTTGCGACTTTTGAGTTACATGGAGTAAAGTGAGATTAAAATCGAGTTATAGGGGGTGTAGCTAAAAAATAAGTCTTTAGTGATATGTCTTCACTTGTCAGTGAAAAATCTTAAGTTCAAATATCGAAAATGGTAAGTTCGCTAATAATTTATTCTCCTACGCTTTTGGTGTAAATATATTATTGTCTTAGAACAAAAAAGTTAGAAAGGAGGTAAAATGTTTGGTTTATCATAATTGATAAATCATAGAGTTTTTTTTTTTTTTTTTTTTTTTTTTTCAAACGATAGATTTTATTAGATTAATATTGACAGGGTTCGAACCCACGTCGTCATATAAGAGCTCAACACATTTCCACCATTTCGGTAAAGGCCCATTTGCAAATCATGGAGTTTAATATGGGTTCTTTCACCCAAATATGGGTGGATCGCCATAATCAATTATTTAATTTATTGAATTCATTTTTTACCTAGTTAACCTTGTTTTTTTCTAACACATTTTAGATGACCATATAATTAGAAATTTAGATTACTTTTTCCAAGAATAAATGTTAAAAAAATAAAGATTATAAATGTAAATTGAAAATAGAAATCTATCTTTTAACATAGAAATCCAATTATTATTTTTTGGATTTTTATCATAAATGGTTCCTGAAATTGAAAATCAATTAATGTAGTTTCTGAAAATAGGTGTCGCAAATCAATATGATCATTCCGTCATAATTCTGTTAAAAATTTTGTTAAGTGATGATGTGGCACATAAAATGGTCCCTAAAATTGACATACGACATCAAAATGGTCCCTAAAATTGAAAATCGAGTGTCCCAAATCAATGGTATCTTTCCGTCACAATTCTGTCAAAAATTATATTATGTGCTGATGTGACACATAAATGGATCACACAAATCTAATTAAATTTAAAAAAATACAAATAGGTTTAACAATTTAATAGTTAATAAAAAGTTGTGAACCCAAAAACCCAGTCCTGCAATCACCCCAATCCCAGCCCACATTCCTCTACCTCCTTCATTCTCTATTCTCTAAAAAAAAATCTCAATACACCCATCTTTACACACTTTGACACCATTCACCAAATTGAACCTGGATTGAGATCACCTTTGGTGACAACTTGGCTGATTGGCAACGACTTTTGAGACATCATCGTTAACATTTAGGCGATCAACATCCTCACAACCTTAATCTTGGAGAGCTTGTTCGACGCTTTTCTAATGGTCTAGTGACTCAAAGAAAGCGAGGTCTACCGTGAGATAATGAAGTTATAACCGAGGTGCATCTATTGTTGGTTGAAAACTATTTCCAAACCCCCTCTTAGGCATTTCCAAACCCCCTCTTAGGCCTTGGTTAAGCCTTGTGCCTTTGAGAATTATGGAAGGGATTTCTATCCAGAGTAAGTCCTACTACAAGGGGAAAAAAAATCTAATGTGCAAAAAGGTATTTAGACAACTTTTTTAATTAAGTATTAAACCCACATCAGCACATAACAAATTTTTTTACAGAATTGTGGCCGAATGATCATATTGATTTGTGATAGCTATTTTCAAGGACTACATTCATCGATTTTCAATTTTAGGGATCATCTTGATGGTATGGGTCAATTTCAAGGACAATCTTAATGGTATGAGTCAATTTCAGGAATCATTTGTGATATAAAACCCATAAATTTTGTGGGGCCCATTTATATGCCACATCAACACTTAACGAAATTTTTAACAGAATTGTGAGGGAATGACCACATGATTTACGACACCTATCTTCAGGGACTACATTAATTAATTTTCAATTTTAAGGACCATCTTGATGGTAAGGGTAAATTGCATGGACCATTTGTGACACGCCCCGACTGAAATCAAGGTGTGATGGCCGTCATGTGAGGGTGACGTAGCCATGTGCACAGTGCGGAAGCGATAATAATAATAGAAATGCGAATAAATAAAAACTAAACTAATAGCAGTACTAGCTAAGATAACATGCTAGTGCGAGATTAAATGTGATAAACACA